CATTATACTTGACTCAGATTCGGAATACAGCTAAATTTTGCACTTGTTTACTTTACCAATCTTTGAAGCGTATAAAATCGTGCTCAAACAAGTCTATCAAAGGCTGGAATGTGTTATTTTCACAAGACAAGAAGTACTTACAGCACAAAGATGACCTCCGGCAATAAATCATACTCAATAGAAAATATCAATATTGTTGTCTACTTCGACTCAAATATTCTCAGAGCAGCAAAATGTTCGTTGAGTGAAATGCTTTGTTGAAAACGATAAGCTCTGAAGCAAAATGATTTTAATTCATTGATGACGGAAGGCAAGATTTAAAAAGCCAGAGCGATTATTTTCTTGTTAGAGTGAAGACATATGCATTTTTTTTATAAAGGATCACACGGAATCGGTGACTAAATTGAACTGGACAAATCTGTTTTGGCTTTCCTGTTTTCGGTGATCTTTCGCGAATATTCGAATAATTCTGTGATCTGGAAGTTGAGAACTTTCTTTATGACAGCCCCCCCTCCACTCCCCTAGTATTCCGCTAACGAAAAAGCCATTAAAAAGCTTTCTTGGAAGCATGTAACATAAACGTTACAACTATAAAAGCAAACAAGGTCTCGAGAGCTTTCTTGCTGTAAACAATATTATAAGCACAAGACACAAGAGAATCAGGTTTTCGATTTTAATGACATTTTCAAAGAATACTGTTAAGTCCCAAAATTAAGTGGACTTTAACGTCTTAAAGTTTACGACGTTAATATATTTCTAAAATGGAAAAACCAAACTTAGCAGTTCGTAAGAGACAGAAGTATATTATGGCAGAGAGACACAGACTTGTTTACAACTGCAATGACTTAAACGGTAGTCAATCTAATTCATTGCCGATTTCTATTTTTCGTTGAAAACATTACGTGCTCCTTCAGCAAGCGAAGACGAATTTTTATTTACAAGATTTAGTTCTAATATTTTTGCCCAAAGAAATAAGCGCAAAAGAGTCCAGCCATTGTTAAGTTCAGGGCTTTACAATTGCAGATTTCACCAAGTTGGTTACGTTTTAAATTTGTTAAACGTTGAAGGAATTTAGACTGACAAAGAATTAACTTATAAAAATCACAACCGCTGTTCAAAATGGCGGCCACTGCTTATAAGTTGTAAAACAAATTTGCGGCGTTAAGTTTCACCTTTTAAAGAAAATAGTGACTGGAAATAATTATATTTACAAATATATAAGCTTAAATTTCAGTTTCCACGACTGGCGTTTGCTAGTGGTTCGACTGCCATTTTGATAAAAAAAAAGTCTTTTAAATACTCATCCCAGAGCGTTAAGATAACGCATAATTATTCTCGCGTCGTATTTCTATACATTTTCGCATTTCGTTCCATAAACTTATGATAAACTTGTTTTCCATTCTTTGTCACTCTTTCCTTCGTTGCTTGAAAACAGAAAAAAAAATGTCATAGATAGCTCTTTAAATTGATTAAATTTGTTTCTTATAATAATACTACATCTTTTACTTTATACATAGATACAATTCGGGAATTTTTGCTTAACTTTTTGGCAGTAAATTACAAGCCTTACATAACATAAACAATAAATCTTAACAACGAACAATGTATTCTCTCGACACTCTCCTTCAAGGCCGTCACGCGACCTTTAACAAGTGTTGCGTAACCGCCTAAGTAACGGCTCCGAAGAAGATTTCGGACAATGTTGAAAAAAGTTAAATAAATGTTTAATAAAAATGTTCGTTTTCCATAACTGCAACAAATAAAAATATTCATAGAAGATTTGAAAATTTAGAACAGAACGGCGGTAAACTAATTTATAAAGAATCCCCCCTCCCCATAAAAACTTTCAAGTTTGCAACACAACAGCTATATTAACCGACGTTTGATTTTTTTAGTGGCTTCATGAGCAACAAACATTGCCGTTTTATCGTTTTTTTAAGAAACAAAACGATCAGGCTGCGTTTTATCCATGACTAAAATGGGAAATTACTTTCAATTGCAGCCTAGAAGCTAAAGAATTCACTACTCCTATCATTGATGGACAATTGCAAAGAAATTTTTCCCATGAAAGTAGAAACTATAATTTTATAAAAAAATCCAATCTAAAGGAGAGGAATTCGTTGCATCTTTGGCGGTTTTTTGTCTCTCATTCGCTCCCGCCACTTCGAACCGTACTTCCCGCCAAAAACTCGGCACGGGACGAAAAATAACTATTCAGTGCTTTCTCACTAGTTTTGCGTGAAATACCCCACCCAATTGTCGGACATTTCACGATATACAAGCCGAAATTATTACAGAAATTGAATAAGTACGCAACATAAAACAAATAAAACATCAGATAACCTTTTGGCCTCATTGAGGTCAATACTTAAGTTCGACAAAAAAAATTGTCTTTGACGATATAAGTGTTAAAACGTCACTTTTCACACAGTGGTAACGTGAATCGGACCAACGGGGGACCCGTCGGGGTTTCGTTGAGTTAGATATTCACGAACTGTTGTAAAGTCATCAAACTGCTTCCTGTTCATTTTTCTGTGACTCATCTCAACGATGATATCCCGGCGTCCTTTGCCACTCTCCGAACCGCTGCCCGTGTGCGGGCTCTCGGATTCTTTCAGCTGTTGTAGTTTTTGGATTTTCTTTCGGCGCGCTTCCCGCACTCGTTCTAAGTGTCGTCTCCGGTCCTCTCTCGGCCAGTAACGGCCTTGGTAAACGGTTTGTGTGTCGTCATCAGTTGTCATGCCTTTGCGTTCGTCGGTAATTTTTTGGGCACGGTCGCGCAGAAGTTTATTCCTCGCCTGCCTCGCTGCAGTGGCAGGCCTTTTGCGAACAAAAATCTGACTACCGTCTTTGGACATTCGAACTTTCCATTCAATGTTCTGTTGAGATCCGTTTAGAGATTGATTGTCAGTGAGATTTGACTTCTGTTTGCTACGATGGTCGTGATAATCACCCCTTCCACCGAAACAATCCGACTCGCCAATCAAATTGATGTGTTGAGTCGAGTCCTTGTTCACGGCTCTTATGTAAGACGCACGAATTGTCCTGCTTACGTTGCCTAGTTTACTGTTACGCTTCTGGTCGGAGTGTCGACTGCGATCTCGTTCACCGCGAGTTTCATGATTGTCTTTGTGTGAATCTCTGTTCTTTTTCCGTTCTTTACTCTTTTCCTTGTCTCTATCCTTTCTGGGAGGCGATCCTCCATTGTGCGTAGGTGAAAGACTTTTAGTTGGAGATCCACTGCTATGGCGGCGTGTACGACCGTTTTCGGGAGAGCGCTCCTTGTGATTTCGACTAGAGTCTTTCTCGCCCGGTGATGAATTGTCCCGAGATTTCCCAGAGCAGTTTTCTCCCGACCGTATGGGAGAAAACGCTCGGTCCTCCTTACCACGCGTGGAACTACTACTCTTTCGTTCGCGCGTGTTTGAATCGTCCTTAACTAAGCGTTTGTCGCCGTTTTCCTGCGAATTTTTACGAGAGTTTTGCGACGGCCGAGCTTCCTCTACGACGTCGGGTCCGGAGCTTTCGTCATTTTTCGTGCTCTCGTCGGTTCTTCCGACTCCGCTGTCCTTTTCGCATTTGTCGCCGTTCGTTTTCTCGCTGTTCAACGTATCGTTTCCATCTTCGTCTTCTTCTTTGATCACATCAATTCTGAAGCTACTTAGTTCCGCGTCGATTGGATCCACAAAGCCCCAGTCTTGACTTCCTTCACTGCCCAAAAGAGTGGCCCGTACCTAGAAGAAAGGCGAAGGGTTTTAATATAGTTTTTGAACAACTCAACCGCGTTAGCCGTGGGGTAAGGAGTAACTGAGTAAGGAAACATCCCCTTTATATTTCCCAACTGCACTCTGTTTCTCAGACTACGCAAACAGTGTTTACCCGTGGGTTAAAGAATAGCTTAATGGTAGGGGATTTTCCACACCGAATCCCCGATACCCTAAGACTAAGGGCATCCTTACTTGAATTTTAGTGTAACACATTCCTCATTTAATACCAACTGTTCTTTACATTTCACAATAAGCAAATCGGCTTTAGCCCTGGGGTAAGAATTAAGCTGAAGGCAGGTAGGGGCCGACTTCCTTTAAGAAATCTAGGGGATCTCTGCTTGGATTCCCTTAAATCACATTTCCTTCTGATAACAACTACTTTCTGTTTCTTAAACAACCTAAACCAGCTTTAACCTAGGGATAAATACAAGGGGGATGTAGCAAACCCCCAGGGACTTTCCCCTGGGCTTTCGTGGATCTTTTTATAACACTATATGATTGGCCAATAGTCAGACGACAAGCCATTTTTGAAATAATCCCAAAATATTTCTTATTCCTCTTTATGACAGGGAAAGCGACTAAGCGCTGTAAAGTACATTAGTTCAAAACTTGAAAGAGAGATAAACGACTGCTAATGTATAAACCCTAAATTCTCTTAGAAGAAGAAATGCTTGGAAGCTTGTTAAGGAGCTAACCACAATCCTTCTACCGACAAAGGAGAGAGTGTATTTTCAGTTGATTGGATTAAACGCTAAGACAATCTTAAAGCACTTTAAATTGATCAAATTTGCGGAGCAGAACGAAACGAGATACATATAATTTGGATTCTTTTGGATCGCACAGAATCTACCGTCAATTTTATGAGAGATAACGTGATGTGCAATTTTTAAATTAAATGTTACCCTCGGCTGGTAAAAATTACGATTGAATTGGCAATCCTATTAAATAAATTATGGTGTTGGTTTTGGAAATTTTACCTTCTAATCGACCGATGTTCAGCTAGGAATTAAGTCTGGTTAATTCTAAAAAACGGAAATTTCTGTCAATTTTTCGTTATTTTTGTATTAATTTGCCGGCGAATTTTAATGAGATTGACCTTCTTGCTGGGCATGTTGTTTTCAATGCCGCGCTGTGGATCGAGTTTGACTTCGGCAAAAAGATTGTGTTCGTTTTCCGGCTCACTAAATTTTTTGTTGATTATAAGCGTTGATTGATGACCAACTTGGTTCATTTAACACAGCTAGATTTGTGGTTTAATATTCCGTTTTAAAAGGCAACGCAGGAAGGAAACACGATCTGAGGTTTACCGAAAAAATGTAAAACAAGTTTCAACCGGGAGGGTTTAAAATTTAGTAGGCATAATAGAACACCTTAGAATGTTTACAGCCCTCTATTGTCTCGTATTTTTATTCGGTCGTTGAACGCGCGGAGAATTGCGAGAGAACTGGGAGCATCGTATTTTACAGTATAGATCACCTTTTTTCGTGGCGCACCGGCACTCGATTTGGCATCAGTAACCCGCACAAGATCAGCGAAATTCCAGGCAAATGCAAAGTGGATTATTTTGAAAAGAACGAAAACTATGCACAACAACCGTGAGAAAAAAATAAAATCAAATAAATCAGTGAAAAAATGCGATACTAATAAACAAACAAAGAAACAAACAGAATGTGCCTTATTGAGGTCGCCTTTCACTGGCAGATATTGCACCTGTGTTCTGTGGGTGTTCTGCTAGACGAAAGATTATCTTCAGCAATGGACCGGAAATAACCTGCTTTACTCTTTATCTTAATCCTGTTAAGAAAATAACGTTTATCGGCGACGCTCCACGTTACAAGAAGACAAAACTACGTCCGATTTTCATTCCCCAGAAAAGTGTCTCGCATTTTGCCCGCGAAGTTGCTGTTTAACTTCAACAAAACATTCATTGTAGAACGTGATATATTCGTGCAATGTGTGGAGGAATTTAAAGAGCAGATCTTCTCCTAGCTATACAAATGGAAGTAAAGCTCTTAGCCTCGCAGCAGGGCCCAAAAGTTTGCGCTCTACAGTGCAATAAGAGATTAGTAAGCTGACTCTAATACTTAGTGATTAACAATTAAGAGATTTTATCCTATTTTGAAATCCATCAACCGAGGATTTTGAATGCAAACGGAATCCAATTTGCTCAAGTATGTGTTAGACAGTTGTATACTCCGAAAAAGCTCTCAGCAAAAAGTGCTTTTGTCAAAAACCGTGCTCTTTCCATGATACAAAGCAGAATTTGTTTTTGCTGGGAAAATCTTAACGCCCCTATCGTTATTTGCATGCAATCCACTCCGCGGCATACAAATATTTTTTACGTCTTAAAACCCAGATACTACTTTTGTTGTTATTTAAGGCAATTACGGATCAAAATCTCTTCGTATTGAAATCGCTTTTATTGATAAGGCGAGCGATTTTTGCTTTAAAGTATACAAATAAACACGCAATGCTCAACTGTTGCGTGACCTGAAGCCATTAAAAGTATGGAAACCCTTTGAAATCAGCCGCTGTCATCTATCTTTTTCGATGAAGATTACACACATTCCACGGTCTTAGCAGGGGATTAAATAGAAATTGTAATAAATCACTAAGACGTTTTAATACAAAAGATACGTCTAGCCTGCAGTCTGTTTATTCAAAAAGCTCTAAGTTGGTAATACTTCAGTGCTTTTCAATGCCTTGCACATGAAAAGGAAGGTGCTAGAAAAGACACGAGTTTATTGGAAGTTTTTCCTGGGCTTTCCCTCGCACGCGTGTATCTACACGTCATTCGAAGGTTTTTCTACACGCAAAAGCTTGCATATTTACATTTCGTTCACACGCCTGCTAATGTAACTAAAGAAGTCTACAAAAGGGCGCCGAGTTTTCTAAGTATTAATCTCATTTAAATTGCTACAAGGATTTCAAATAAAAAGGTTACTAGTGCTGGCCTCTTGATTAAGCCGCTGAAATATTGTCAAATAAACATCAAATTAAAAATAACTACCCGCACATATTTTGGTTTCAAGAACCATCGATTTGGCAAAGCTTTTTAAACGAATTGTTAGTAATGGAGAATGTCAGATGAAATCTTTTGTTAACCTTTTCCATTATCAGTTTCTAATTAGAAGCTTCGTGTTTAACTATCTTTTAAGTGCTGTGTTACGAATTCCAGCGCTCTTGAAACTATCTCCCTGTATAAATAAAGTTTATCTGAGGTTTATGCGGCGCAAAACAACACTTCCCAATCCTTTTTTATCAGCTCTAAACTATGTTGGGTACAGAAGGAAATTAGAGATGTCTGCACGAATGTTACTTAAAACATTCTTGATCTGTAGGGCTTTTGTATAACCCACCTTCTATAAATGACTGTTTTGTTTTCATTTGCTATGAGGATTTAGCACCAAAAGGATTTGACACACCCCTTTCTATAATAGCAACTTTACAAGATTTAGGCTCATGGTTTTCAATCCAGCCTAAAAAATGTCATTTTCTGATAACACCGTTATCAGACCGGTAAATAAGCTAGCAGGGTCACAACGTTACTACTAGCACAACTGCTACTGTTATTTGACTGAATGGCTAAAATATGTCTTTGCTCTGATTTGACATAGTAAATCCAAGCTACTAAAATATCTTGCAATTAAAGTTACTAACCTAGGGATCATCTATCCCTGGGTGCACAGAAAAAAATACTCATTTGTACAGACCTCTTGTGCTGGTCTTGCTACAAGAAACTTGATCGTGGAGGTTGATTCGTATACAAGAGGTTCAATATCACTGAGATGCGTCACAGGAACATCGTTGATCTGTGAAAATAGGCGATAAATGCATCAATATTTGCTGCGAAATTCTTGAACCTTACGATCATCTTGAACTGTGGACCTGCCCAAAACGTTTCCATCGATTTTAAAGGGTTGTGCGCGCATTACCAGCTCTATCATAATTTCAGTTGCATTTCTTCAGTGTATTACAACTAGATTGAAATCACCCTTTGTTATAACGGTTCCCGCGCTGAGATTGTGGTAGAACAAAGAAGGTAGAAGAAAATTGAATTCAGGGCAGAGAAAAGAAACTCGATTCTCTCATATTTACCAGTTCAGAAATAAATTAAATTTTTGCGTTAGATGAAGAACGAGGGCGATAAGATTCGTGTTCACGCATCCACCTTACACGCGAGGCGTGCGCGGACAACGCGCACGTTCCACTTGCAATGTGGCGCTGTCACGCGGACAACTTGTCACGCCAGCAGGGGAAAAGCGTTGTGTGACTAGCTAAATTGGCGTCAAGTCATCTCAAAACTAGCGCTCAGGCGTCTAATATCTGCCAGTGATTTGCAAAGTTTTAGACCTATTACAACGGTAACCATACCTTTAAAACTACATCACATAGCGTCAACCTCCCATCAAGGTACGCGACAGAGCCAGGCTCAATCTGCCAAAAAATTTAAACAAAACCATAAATTCCCTATTTGCCAGTCACTTCATGCAAGAAGCAAGTAACTTGGTTAAGAACACAACCCCGTTTCCAAGAGATAACGAGCGGAAGAAATATTGCTAAGTAACAAAGATGATGCTAAGACGACGTTTTGCTTGTTTGTTCGCTTGTTTGTTTACGCGAAATGTCGCATACGTTTTAGCGAGAAACGACACTTCCTNTTTAAGCCTGTGGATTTAGCAGTCGAGTGGCACGTCAGCCAGTGTTCGAGTAACAACCACCAAGGCTAGCACTTACCACACTTTACATACAACACTTCAGTTGACGCTTAAAAGTTCATTTTCTTGACCTCGTGCCCTTTTACTATCTTACCTACACTGCAAGAACTCTTCCTTTTGCTCGAGTTCCATGAGGAAAAACGCAAAGAAGAACACAACAGAAGTGAGCGAGTCGTGAGCATGCAAGCGTGCCATGCGAAGCCGCGAGTCGCAAGTAGCGTTGGCGTCGGAAAACGGGCGGTCTTCCAACACCCTCGCTACCGGTTTGCTTACCTCGCTGTCACGCTCGTACGCTTACTTGTTTTGCCTTCTTCCCCACGGACTTTCCAAGCAAAAGTAAAGACTGCTAGCAGTCTATATGTTAGCCAGAGAACCAAAATAACGCACCTCGCAAACATAGACAGTTGCTTCGTCTTCTTCTGCACAACAGAATGTTAATCCTAGATCACAATTTGCTATCCAGAGAGTTATTTCCTGAAAAAGCGCAATGATATCTTCAGTATGAGGAATACCAATAATTACTCAGAAAGGGTACCTTTTAGCAATTGTAGGAATAAGATAAGTATTCGTTTTAAAATGTTGTCTTGGAATTTGAAACAAGAGAACCTAGCGTCCTAGATGGCATCAACACGTGCAAGATCGCAGTTAGCAAAATAAGTGTCGTTAAGTTGACTGTGCGCGTAGACGATAGTTCACATCTCAAACGCGCTCTTAATTGATAATGAACAAGACACTTCCTTCTTGAATCCATTGGAAAGGTAAAGGCTGCATCAATCCTAGTAATCGAGGGACTGCTCTTTGACATCAGTATTCAAACCGGGTTCGTGTAGGCTTCGATAATTAACTCCGGTTCGTTCGTGTAGGCTTCGGCATTCAACTCCGGTTGGAGGAAAATGAAGTAACTACAACTAATTTAGCCCCCTCACCCTTCCTTGGATAGGGTACCAACCTATCATAGGTTATTACAATTCCTCTCCCAAATCCCCGTTAACACTCTGCTAGGTTGACCGAACAACTCGCCATTACCCCATTTATATTCCAGGGTGGAGATAGCAACTGAGAATGTCGTGTGTCCAGGAATCATATCCGGATTCAAACTTGCTGAACCGGAGAAAAGAGCCCCGCCATCTTTCGTAACTGGTCGTCAATGCTGGAGTCCCTCCGGAACGTCGAGCAACATGAGTCCTACTGCTAAACTGAAATTGTTTCCCTGGACTAAGATATCTTGTTTAAACGCAAACCTCTTGTGACTACGCTTTTTAAACAAGTCTTAAATATTTAACAAGTGACCCACCTCATATTCATAGTCAAACTCAGGGTCGAAATAAATCTCGTCGGAAACTGCTGTCACGTAAGGCTGACCTTGCAAGTCACAGTTGGAGTTCTCATCAACATCATGAACATAATTCACGTCTTTTACAACGAGCGTGACACGAGGCAGTGTACCTTGCTCGCTGCCAACAATGTTCTCAGAACTCGGCAAACTCTCGCTTGTCGAGCGCAAGTTCTCTACATCGTCCCTACAAAAGGATTCGATTCGGCGGTGGGAGCTTTCCGAACTGCTTGTGCCGTCATCAAGAGACTTCTCGAATGGTATCAGCAAGTCCTGCCTTGGGCTGTACCGGTCGTGAATTCCGCTGTCTGTATCCATGCTCTCGACGTCTTGAACAAGACAAAGGTCCGTCTGGGTGCCAGTAGACGTCACACAAGGCACACAATCCACGATGGCGTCTGAGCACTTTCGTCTCACTACGATATGCAGCGGTTCCGAAGCTGTTTTAATGACTTCTACAGCTGTGGCGTGGCTGGCCTCCGATAGGTCGATACCGTTCACCTGAAATAGATATCAAAATGCTAAATAAGCGAGAATGATTTACGATTTTCTATTATTTTGAAGTTGTTTGGTTGGAAGGGAGATGATATCGCAGTTGTGGTACCATATGAATTGCATGTTTCCTTGTTTTTGTCACATTTGTCACAACAGGCTAGTTTCGTTATCTCAAGCAGTTTCCTCAAACGGAATTTGAAAGCCATGTTTGCTTTGTAATCGATACTTTTGTCAATTCCGAGCTTCTGGAAGACCCACCCTCTAAATTTTCTTCGTTTCTTAGACGGTTTTCGACCACTTATTTATAAACCGGTGACATAAGCATTAACAAAAGAAATCGGAATTCATTTGATGACGAATGTTCTATAGATCTCAAAGCCAGACGATGGTAGTTATAGTAGCCAGCTTTGTAATTCATTCCTCGATTAAAACTCTAGATATGAATTAAGATAGGTGAAGCTTCTATCACTTGTATAATGCACTTTTATCATACGCTAAATCTCCGAACACTGAATTTTAAAAAGCCCAGGGGGAATTCCTTACCCTCTGGCCTTTTAAAAACAAAGTTGCGTTTGAAACACAGTTAAAAAGCTCTACTCCTTATCGCTTTCGTGATTAACAGATAGCTTGCTCTCAGTGTTGATTGTAATGAGTTGCAGCGCGTCGCTTTCTCACGCTAAAACAACATTGAGAATGACACCTTGTCACTGCCGCACGGCATATTTTGGACCACGTCATTTAAAGAACATTACAGTGTCCATCCGATGCCAAGCAATGACAGTCGCGAACCTCCCACCTGTGACGGACAAGTCGATACCAATTACATGAAAACAATACTGACAGAAGGATTTACGATTTGTCTAATGTGTACTTCATTGAGGACACATTAAAATGTCCATCAATTGCCACCAAGTGACAACCGCAGACTGTCAACTTGTGATGTACAAGTCGATTGCTGTTACATGAAATCGCTACCTTCAATTCAAAATTGTTGACAAACACGATTCACAATTGTGTTTATTCACTGATTGAGAGACAAATATAAAAAGAACTATTTGTTGTCGAGTTATCGGAAATGTTTGCTGACTTCCTCCATATCAACCACTGTTGCCCCGAGGAAGATTGAACTAATTACTACTCACATCAAAGCTTCATGTTGAAAGCACATTTTGAAAATTAGATTTTCTGTACTCTCTGATAACACATGTTAATCACTTGCTGAGGTGGTGGTTTAGACAATGCAAGAGTTTGCCAAGTCGCGTCTGGACAGAGAACAACATCGAGTAAACTTCTGTACAAGCAGACAACTTTATTGGAATCCCATTTGGGATTTTACTAAGTCAAAAACCTTGCTTAGACATTTGAAAACCTCATTGGGCTCTAAAACCAAACGTTAGCGGAGAATGGAGCGATAATATGCGAAGTTTAGAGCAATTAGAGCGCGTTGAATAAGGAAACGCTCGTTACATGGAAAGAAAATATCGACAGTACTTCAGTTAATTACGTTCATTACTCAAAAACCACATCCTGAGTGGGTCGCAATTTCCCACGAAGCTCTCAAAATCCGAACAGATGCTGTGATGCAAACACTGTCCCTGAAGAAACAAAAACCCGTCTCGTTAATAAGGGATTTTTGTTTTCTTGATTACGTTTTGTTTCAATATCGCTTTTCCAGCTGCGGTTGAAGAACGGACTGTGTACGCGGTCCTATTGCTTTGCAAATAAGCATTGCCTTTTACTCGCAAATAGAATACTATTTTCTCCTCTCCGAGTTCGTGTTTTGATCAGTAGAGTACGATAAAGGCAAACATTTTCCACATGTTGTTCGTATCAGTATAGAAACACCGTGACAATGGCTTTTTAATATGAAAAGAATGTACAACCGATAAGCCCTAGCTGATGGGAAAACTTTCACCAGAAGAGCTTCAGGTGGAGCTTATTACCATTAAGCTATCTTCACAATGTTTTCCTTCCAAACCCTTTTCTCAGACAATCATATGTTAAGCCGCTAAGAATAACCCGAGCGTTCAAAAACGAACAAGTACTTTTGCTAAACTCGAGGGAGCGACAGCTAGCTCAACTGGTTTTGTTTAAAGTACAGAAATAGTATAACCTCTGTGTTTACATAAACATTAACGAGGCTTAACGTACCCAAATTGCATATCACGGATCGCAATTTCGAGGCAAACTCGCTCGGTACTTCGGTACACTCAGATATATAAATCAGGGAAGCGGTAAATCAGTGAAGAGATGGCGTTAGAAAATATTGCGGCACAAAATGTTATTATCTGTATGGTCTAAAATTTTAGCCAAAGGAAGTATAATTGCGCTTCTGGCCAAGGAGTGGTAGGGAAACGAAGTTTCTGGGAAGCCGACCGCGAGCACGACAACTTTAACTTTTGCTTGGAAATGTTATGCACTTTTCTGTTATCGTAAAATATTCCGGCTTTTTGTTGAAGCCAATATCTTCACTGATAACCTAAATAACCTTTCAAAATTGCTCAGGACTAGAGGAAATCGTGAAAACGGTTTGAGGATGTTCTCAAATTGATTTTTAGAGAAATGAGACTTTGTGTGCAAAGCTTAAGTGACAAGATTAGTAGAACACGTGGAAAAAAGCAACAAATCTTTTAGATATGAAACAATGAATAAAATAATTAAAGTGATATATGAACAAAAATATGGCCTCTTACACACGAAAACAACAAGATATTGAACAGACTTGGTAAAGTAAAAATCATTAGAACTAATATTCGGAATTCTGGGTTGTTTTGAACGAATGAAATGCAAAATGTACTTCAATTTTAAATGGTATTGGTTCAAGTTGGATTTAAATTCGCTTACCAGAACGGAACAGACCAATTTTCTGTTTATCTCCGCGCCTACCAGAATCTTCAACGGATATATTCTGACCATGCAAATAAGACCTTTCCGTGACATTTGAAATTTTATTTTGAAAAGGATATTTCCTCATCGACCACTAACAAGAGCGAGAAAGCGGATAGAGTCGGATTTATGTCAATATTTTGTCTTCTAATTTTGAAAATTAGGATCTCTCGCTAATGCACGCTTCCTACCCTAATTAATATTTTTGCATATATGCGAAAAAAGAACGGAACTTTTCGGAAAAGAATATGTGATTGTATGAAATGCTTATATTGAAACATGGTGGAAACATTCAGTTGCAACAGAAGTTTTCTGTGTTTAAGTATGGTCCATGACGAGCCAAAAATCTGCCACGTTTCTCTATTTATTAATATGTTTTAAATATTTGTCATGAAGGTAGCAAAATGGCATTGAAATTCGATGACACTAATAAATACGATTCGTAGTTCGCTTCGTCATATGATGAATAAGTCAAATTTATTTCACGCTAACGAGAAACTGCGCACAACACAGTATTTTTTGCACGCCTCAAATATCCCGTGCAAAACAACATTTACAAAAACTTGAAGTATATTTAAATGAGGCGAGAAAACGATTTTGTCGAGAAGATGTCATTAGAGTTGTAAAACAAATACCAAACAACAAACAAGTTCGTGTTCGGAATTTTTTACCTCAGTTTTCGCGGTCTTTGAAATACATATAGTAGCAGTTTACAGTTTTAGTATTGGTTCGTAAAAACACTTTTAAAGCTGGTTTTATGAGGATATTTTCTATTTCAACGCTGCTAAAAATTGAAACGAAACAGCGGACGCGACAGGGACGCTAAAATGTTTCGTTTTTTTTCGAGGTTCATTAACGTATTTACAGAGACAAACACCTGCAGACCGTCGACATAAATAATGTAAAATGGCTCTGTTGTCCGTTCTTTAAAATCCAATTTAGCACACTTAGTTGAAAATTTAACAACTTCTGCCTTTTAAAATCATAACTGCGGGAATGAATTATGAATCAAAAATGACCACGGAATCGACACCGGACTTTTAGTTGCTTGTTAACGAATTGTTCCATCGTAAAATTAACACGTTTTTTGTGACAATCTTTAATCGCTTGTCTGCCAACTCACTTTAAGTAATTTACTGTCAGGGAACGAATTATTCGTTAGCAAAGACACTTATACATCCTTAGGTGTCGCCGTTTTGTATTGCTTCGTCCGACAAAGTGATTTTCGTTTCTAATCACTTAATGACCATACGTTTTTCATCGCTCTAAAATTACAGCGAAAGTGCAAGCCATTGTAAATTAAAAGGCTGTAGTATTCCTTTCTCTGGTTTCTATAACAAGATGGTCTGTTGTCAAATCGTTGCAAAAGAAATGGGCATTAGTCACAATTTCAAGAACTAACGTGTTGTTAGTTCCACATTTGTAAACTCCCTAGTTGATTTGACTTCATTTTTAGGTTTATCAATTCTACACGTAGGTATCACATCATTAATACATGATTTAGTGCAGTGTTTTCGCCAAACTTTTCAATTTTAGTCTGTTTATTTGCCTTTTCGATTTGACATTACCCTGTGTTGTCTGACGGTCTTTTTCATAATACATTTGAATTTATCAAAATCCTCTTTGTAAGTTAAATCACATCAGAGTCCAATAATCTAACAGTTTCCTTTGTTTTGTGCTAAAACCACGTAATATTTGTACAAGTCACCTTTTTTCGCGAACAGCAGGAAATTTAAAATTACTCCCAGTATAAAAAACATCTGACATAAAATCTCTCAAAAACAAAGATCAATTCCACAGTTATATCGTACAGGGCTGAAAATAATCGCAGTTCAATTTATTATATTCTTTTCTTTTTCCGAAATGATGCAGTAAATATTCTTCCATTCGGCCGCTTTTAATTCTCTTTCACGTGTATTCGATGGTAATAAAGCTTGTGATTAAAGAAAACAAGTTGAACGTTTCAAGCGAAGTCAAATATCCTTCGTCAACGCACCGCTAAGTTTTCGCCGACTTTAATCTTCAACGCGAAATCACACAGAGAAACTATAAACAAATGCAGCGATATTTTTTCGCACAAAGCATGTAACAACAATTCATTTGATAAACTTAAGGGATTAACGGTGTATTACAGTTGGAAACAGTCGCTGCTCATAAAAAATTCACAACTCGATTCAAAATGTTACCAACAAAAAAAACATATTCAAATTTCGCTCGAAACCCTTAAATACACTTGTCAAATGAATAGATGATTAATCTTTTTTCTGACGGAAAATCTTTGATGACTTTTGATAATTGTTTTGAAGTAAGACCTAAGGAAATGGGTTTTCTAGAGTTCGCGCTGATTCAATATCTTCACAAAGCACAAAAATCACCGAAAAATTAAGAATTATACCAAAAAAGAAACACAGACTATTACTTGGCTAGACTTCTTGTAGCCATGAATTCGGCGTCCAAAAAGCTCTTTTAGCGCGAAAGCAATATATCCTGATAAGGCTATAAACAGAATACTTTTGTAGTATTAAACGGGCTCTTTCAGTCTTTGATTGTTGCAGTGTATATTGACGTTTTTAGTATTGATCTAAGTTTTATAACCGGCGATATATCAAAAGCACGAAGTTAATTTCAAAAGGTCAGCGATAACCAAGAATTGTTATATCTACCGCGCAACGCTACTAATTCAGCGAAAAATATTTACACTGTGTGTTTCTGTAATGCCTATCATAACATAAGAAGGCCTTCACAGACTCGCAGGAAGTCTATTCAATAGAAAAAGCGAGCGATGATAGATATTTGAAGCTCGATATATTTTACTGAAAGATATGAAATGACAGCACTCAAATTGTCCTATGTCGGTCTGTTGGAATTGTATTTATTGCGGGAAAGTTGAAACATTTTTGAGTAATAAAACATTGTTCTTCTATAGATTTTGTTCGTAAGGAGAACGCAGCGATACCACAGATAGATAAGTCTGCGAATTCACGCTTTCTGTTTTTTTTTTATACAAGTTGGATGTTTGAGATTCCATAGCGCGAAAGCATACTGATTTCTAAACGAGATTTCGTGAAATTTAAGAAAGTGCACTCACTTATGTGTTGCTGAGCAAGAACAGACGTTTCTTCCAGATGAAAGGTACGGGGGAAATATTAAGCGATGCGAGCATTGCGTTGAAGTGCTTGTGTGCTTGAAATCTAAAAAATTAATCCATTACAGTTCTCTTTTTGACCTTAGACCAAAAAAGTTGACAATCTGAAGGATTTCGATCTGTGATCAAACCGGCTGTGTGCGTCGAAGGCAGTTTTCCGATCGAGACAGCGAAAAAAGACTGACAGAAATGAATTAAACATCGCTTCGCGTACGCCTGCCACAAATCGCAAACTGAAGTCTCGCCTATGGCTGCCAAAGCAGTTTATCTTCTATTGTTATCGATCCTGGACTAATATATTGCAAGCCAAAATATACTTTTATATTGTTCGCCTGACAGATCAATTTCCGATAAACGCCTTTTGTGAAGCGCTGCGAGGGACCAAAGCATACCCACATAATATGTCCTTGGTTTTGTGTAATTCATTTGGGTTGCGCAGGTGGGCGAAAAACACACAGAACCAAATTGGAATTTGTGCTTTTCTTATCGCAGTAAGGACTCGCAAATGCTGGAAGGTCGCGTGACAGGACAGTGACTTCCAGCTGAGTGTAAGAGATTGATGTTTGCATGAGGTCTACGTAGCGAAGACATCTTGTTTTCCTACTGTGGTAAAAGCTCTTTGCCAGACAAATACCACAATAATTCAACAGTGAAAAGCCGTGAATTATACATGGACCACGCGGCGAGTGCTCATTGAAATTCAAACGCAAAACAACCCGTAAAAAATAAACAAAAAGTCGTTCTAAAGAAATCCTTTCGAGTTTTCAATTCGATTCGCCACGGGGATGTGATCTTGGCAAGGAATTAAAAATGCCGTGTGCTGCAGGTTTTCCTTTTGGGTATGAACGCATAAGCCGGGAAATCCAGTTCGGTTAAGATAACATGTTCTGAATAAAGCTTAAGTTAAAAGCCAAATTTGTTTACAAGGGGTATATAAAGCTACTAAGAGAGGCTGTTCTTCTATAGCGGAAGCATCTGGTTTTGTTAGTTAGTTTATTAATCCGAAGTTGACAGTCGGAAATCTACAAACACCCTAAGCTAAATTACCATCAATTCTCGGTCAATAAATTCTTTGGAAAGAACTCTGCTGCAATGTTTAGTCGCACAAAAGAACAACAGAGTGCAATAGTGAATTTGAAAAGCAGGTTAACGAGACAAAGGGTAGATTTAATATCTCGCGGTTCGGGGACGCGAGCTGCTTTGATATCAAAAATCAACACAGTGTCATGTCATGTAATAAGATGTCGGCGAGGCTCATCTCGAAGTACGCGCGCAGTGAAAGGAGGCGTGTTTGCGAGAAAATTCCTCGCACTTACCTTCAAAATTTTGTCTTGTATTTTCAAACCGTCTTCCTTCGAGGCCGGGCCGCCGTCTGCGACCTTGGAAACCACAATCCCGCCACCGAGTGAATTACTACTTCCGACCTGATAATGAGAATAAAGGAGAGGTTTAGAGTTCGCAAACTCACACAGGACAAAGAGTCGTAGTCGAGAAGCAGGAATGTTGGTAACTGGATTCTAACATGTCCGCGCGTTTGAACAATACGCGTAGTGAACTCGCGCGACCGGGGGTAGTAGTAAATTTCAAACAGACAAAAGTGCAGCTATTTATTTCACAACATTGGCATCCAGCCGTGTTTATGAGTACATTCTTTCAATGGCTACACAAAACAAAACAAAGAGCAGTTGAATTGAATGGGGGCTTTCCTAAGGGACACTGTCCATCAGTCACTCGCCAGCAAACGAGAGCGCTCCATGTTACTGTGTTAAACGCGATAACTAAATTATGAGAGTTTGATCAGGTTTTAGGTAGGCGCTAATCTTTTTACGCATCTCACACCACATGCCTGGGCAAGAAGGCTTCCGCGCCACGACTTCATTGTAAAGAAAACACAACAGCAGACGAAAAAATATTAAAAAGCACTTAGATGTATCGCTAAGAACTGGGCCAGTGTCACATACCAGACCAAACGTAAAATTAGATTTGTTTGCGCTAGGCGAACGGAATTCTCGAATAAGTGACAATTTAGAACATTACGCCCGTCTAGGATAACGAATAGATCTTCTAAAATGTTCTACGTACCTCTGTGCCCCCCATGATATTAAAGCCAAGCGATCCACCGTTTACCCGCGTCAGCGTTACTTCGACTTCGATTTCTTCGGCGGCCTGCAAGAGTAGAGAAAAGTCAACGGACTGGCATATGTAATCAAAAGCACATAGAAAACGTATAATATTCACCCGTGTCTGTTTACTTACAACTTAATAAAGTGTCGCTCACCGTGGCTAGGAAAACATTCGGGTGTCGTGGTAATGGCTACATTCGACCGAAATATCTTTCACAGTCCGAGGCGCAATCCATTGTCCGATTAAATCGCGATGCGCCAAGATTCGGGTCAAACATCGACATTTTAGGAACGCGCGCGTGTACCGCTCTCTAAAAACACAGCGCATAGAAGCGCTGGTTGTTGATTTACACCGAGGCTAGCTTTGCCGCTCTGGAGTGTGTCCAGCGATTTTCGATAACTCCAACAGTGCTCACTAATTGATCAAAACGATCGGGGTATTGATCTGGTAAAATCACTGCGCGTTCGTACGTACAAGCCATTCTGCGGTTTATGCCCTAAATCAAACATGTCAGTGCGTACGGTGTGCGCTCAATTGGAAAATATAAACCAAACACTGACCCGATTTGGCTAATATCACCTACCTGGTCTGCGCGCGGATCATTGTACTTCTGAAATATACCCACTTGTAACCGGTATTCTTTTAATTGCCTTTCGAAGTTTAGCACCTGAACTTGGTAGCTATGAAGTTCATTCTCCAAATTTAAAATTCTGTCCTGATTTGCCTCCTCTCTGCGCGCTATTCTCTCGCAGGCCAACTCTTTTTCCTGCTCCGCCCTAGTTAATTTCATCTGAAGCGAGGCGATCTGAATTTGAAGGGCCTTTATGCAGTCATGTGTAGAGGAGTCTTGGTAGAGCAGCGGAAGGCCGCAGCCACTCTCGCATACTACAACTCTCGCGAATTCGCGACTTTCCGTGGAATTTGAGTTACGTTCCATAATTTTACCTCCGGATGTAAAACCCTTTGCGTAGCGGCATTTTAAAAGATGTGACTGAGTATTCTCTACCAGTAAAATGGCCGGGCAACCTCGACGAAAATTCTCGCATCGAATATTTTGCTTCGCGATGAGACTACTCAATGGTAGTATTTTCTTTAGATCGTCGACACAAATCTGTTCGCATGTGAGAGGACACGATCCGCTCTCGGCTGTCCATTGAATAATACACTGCGCACAGAATACATGGCCACAAGGGGTTGCTAAGGGCTCCTCTAGAACACCAAAACATATACCGCATTTCAAATCGTCGTCCACTGGTTCCAAAAACCTCTCCACGTCAAAACCCATAGTCAGCCCATCGACCGTAAAAAGAAACAACAGAAATGCCAGATAACTCGATACGCTTGGCTCTTTTGAACTTTTGCGACAAAATAGATGGGCGGAGTCAAAATGGAATACGTTAATGACAATAGCTGTCAGATGAATGGCCCGAGCTGATTGGTTCACTGGTCATTCAACATGTTCTTTTCCGGCGAACGAGCCGCTTTTCCGCATATGGCGCGAAATCAAAACGCAAAACACCACAACAGAAGTCACACTGAAACCTGGTGGTTTCAGCGACATACAGTCAATTTTCGCTCAGAAATTCTGCGATTTCGGTCACGTAAAAGCAATCTTTTATACCCACGTGTTCCCCAGAGATGTTTGAATCTTTAAACACCAGCGATCTATTGTTATGTTGATTAACTGCAGTACAGTGAGAATGAAAGTTTTAATCGTGCATGACAGGCAAGCGCAGCTTCACGAAAAAACAGGGTATCACAGTTACTAAAAGAAGCGCCGAAAAATAAAACAAATTTTAAGGACATTAAAAGAGGCGAATTTTTTTAGAGGCATTGTTGTGTGGGTCGATTGTTCCGTAGAGATATTTTACAAAGAATGGTTTAATTTTTGTGCAGCTGTTGCTAATGGTCTATCAAGAGTTGAAGTTTTCGCCGTTCCAAAATAGTGAGCATTAAATTTAGAGTTGACGTGTTTTAGAATCTATTAGCGCAGTCGCCGTTCCTTTTGAAGCTCTAACCGTGAAAGTGATAATTGAAAATAATGACGGTGTAAACCGCTGACACGTACGCCATATAACAAGCTCGAAAATTCGCGTTTGTAATCTTGTTTTAACCGAGGTAAGCTTCTATGGTTTGTATTCAGTCGCAACGCCAAAATCCGGCTAGAAAATGGGATTAAAATAGGCATGCTGTGGAAAAACACTATTTGGCAAGACAAAAGTCCTATTTAACGCGAAACATTTCTCAATGGGTTAATTTAGCCAGTGTTTGGTTAATTCCAGCTAATAATCATTTGCTTCAACTAGTTTAGATTCATAAAGAACTCGCCGACACAATTAGACAAGTTACCGATCTTTTCAGCATTCGCTTAGAGGCCATTTCAGTGTCTCCATTAATATTTTCCTCTCCGAAAGCAGCTGAGACTAGCTGCGCTGAGGCGTAGAAGTAAAAAGACACTTTCCTGGCCTCTGTTAGAAATTTCTCATGTGCTTAAAATCACTTATGAGCCACGTTCTCTTAACTCTTGCCGTGTTTTCGTGCTTAAATATTTTAAACGCGGCATACAGGCAATTCCGTTTGATGTTTAGGCGAGAACAATAATTTCTTTTAACCTCACACAAAAGGGGACGATTGCTTAATCTGTGCATTTGTTTCGCCAAAACGCATCGTTTCAATGGCCCCAATTACCTTTCACGCAAGAGAAAGGGTCGCAAGCGCTTTTTCGCTTCAGGCGCAAGTCAGTATTGGTTCTTTCGGTAAATAAACAAGAGCTGTATTGAATGAGCAGGCGATAATTTATGCTGTAGCGGAAAAAGAGAGTCACTAAACGCGAGTCACAGCTCATAGTTTATTGCTTTTCGTTTAATAAGACCCGCGTAACAATCAAATCCGCCAAAGTTCCGCAATTAAGCTGAAAAGAAAGTACAAAATACAACCCATTATCTTCGTATGTTGACCAAAACTAATTTTCGGAACAAAAATAAATGTTTACCGACAAGTTAGTATCGACTTCCAATGGCAAATTTAGCCCACTTTGCTGCAATTAGCAATGCTTAGCCAGTCGAAGAACTTGTTTTTTCTCTACTGGCGTATTCTTGTCAAGGATAATCCTCGAGATTTGAACAAGTCGACAATAGATAGGCTAGTCTCAAATCACACAAGAATTTCCGGAAATCAGAGTCTTTGAAACTAGGTTTGTTTTGGAAGGAGATCGCGTGGAATCCATGCGATTTTTGGCATTTTCAACACGAAAATAAGCGTGCGTCAGAACATTAAATTTAAAGGTTGTAAACGCCTTATCGTTAATGACTAAATCTTCTTGTACAAAAATTGTAGACTAATATGCGGCTTTTTCACAGTTGTAGGTCTGATTCTTCACAGATAACAGCAGTGTTTCCCGCATTGGGAAGGAAATATCGGATGAGAAAAGTTTATTTAACGAAGAGAAAACATAATCCACTTTAATTTTGCCTCGGACATAGTTTGGTCAAAACGCTTCCTCACAATAGACCATCCGCGCCTACGCGCAAAACTTTAAGGAAGCTATTTAGGGAGTCGCCGGAAAATCAAAACAAAACACGTCTACGATGAAGTTTGCATTTATGTTTGGCGTTTTTTATGCGAAGGCATAAGTAGTGAAACATTGCTAAACGTGCCTCGAAAAATCACGCGATAGATTCGTGGTTGATACTTATTCGAGACAGAATTGACAATGTTTGACTGGTAGGCGTGATACACGGCTCGAAATAGTCTAAGAACTCCATACGGGTATGGAAACCGGGGGGAAACAAGGTCAGCGGGAATCTTCTTTGGCAAAAGCCGGCTTAAAATACAGGTAGCTTGTGGTTCAGTTACAAAGTGCACTTAAAAGGTTTTCTTTTTCAGTGAAACGAATATGTCATCCAGATCGGAATTTTGTTTTGATTTATTTTTTCAGAAATATAAAATACGAGGAAGTATGATGTTATTAAAATATCTCGTTACTCACATCCAATGCGAGGCAACCGAGCGGTTCTTGTTTGCCATATTGATTTTGCTTGTGGATCATAGCACGGAATTGTTGTTTTCCAAACTAATTATGCAATACATCTTGTATTGCTTAATTGCACATCTGTGTAATTAAGCAACACTTCTTTTTCAGCTCGGAAATTTCCCATGTTTTGAGACGGGATTGAATGTTGACGGTGTGTTTTGTGCCTGATGGTTATCTGTTGTGTTAATTCCACATTTGTCTCCGTTTGCAAAACGCACAAACGTTTAAATTCGCAGCAAAGCCATTTGCAGTGATCTGTGTCACCGGAACTTCGTCGAAACGAAACCTTTAAAATCCAACGAGGTCTTTTTTGAAACATATATAAAGCGAGGATAGCTTTCTAACTCTACGCGTGAAAATACTATTGGCCTGGCTTGGTAGGGGGCAGAGCTCAAAAATTTGTATTACTGATAAGGCACCCGAGGTGATGAAACCTCTTTTTGCTGCCTTCCAGGACTGGTATATGAGCACTGAGTTTGTACGCTCCAATAAACGCGAATATAAACAAATAAAACACATTTCCTCAGTCTACCCGAAGATTCTCAGGCAGTATTTTAATTTCTTTTGTTTCGATTTTTTTCTACTCTTAGAAGAAAGCTTACGAGTTTGGCTCCATACATCATAAAGTGAAATATTGCATAATGATTTGGAGATACGCACCTCAATCGCCCGAACCAGATTTCTCCCAGTCTAGCAAGTGCTTAGTACCCCCTAGTGTTTGTAGGTAATTAATGAAGCTTCAAGACAAATCTGTCTTTTTTATCCCTTCTTATCAAGAATTCATATTTGGGAGAGGCTAGACAATCTAATGTTTTCTACGAATCGAGACAACAATTTGCCCTGCCGCTGGCGATTTCAAGGCGGCATTGTCGCTAGCGAAATGACACAATTTGCCGACCGATCCTTCCCACTGAAATTGTTTTCTCTCTTGTGGTCTTAGTTGCTATGACAATTTGTTCGCGAAAGGAGCCATTTAGATTAAAATTTTGACCGATCGATCGACCTTTTGCGGTTGCAAATTGAAAACAAGAATTTGGGTCAAATCCAGCAATTTTCCAACCTTACATAAAATTTCACTCAATTTCTGGATTTAAAGAAAGGCCAAGTGATGTGATCTTATACAGCCCAGGTCTAAACCTGATGGTATTGATGAGGCATTCGTTTGCTCTTTTTCTGAAGGTAGAATTCTTCTCGTTGAAAAGTCATTTCGCAATTAGATTCAGCTGGTTTTGGAGATCAGAGAGACCGAGAAAACAACAAAGGAGTTATTGATTTATATTAACTTATCTTTCGATCAGTATGTCTTCATCACTAGCTAATTTCCTGATTGCAAATGGCTCATACTGAGAGACAAAGAAAGCCTCGCTGTTTTGAACAAAAATAAACCCTTGCAAAACTTGTTTGTACAACCTGCCACGAACGTATCTTTTACATTAGCTGGCGAAACGATTAACTTGGTCTAGGACCGTGTTAAACGATCCCGACCGAAAGAGTGTTTGCTCAACATCAAAACCACTTCTTTTATGGAACGGAAATGAAATCTAAATAAACTGACGCTTCGACAATAGGATCGGCCGAAAACAACACACAGTCGCCAACGAACACAGCTTTAAAACTTTCCGAATCGAAACAGTGTTCCGTAATTTCATTGTGACCAGGCAGATGGAAGACTCGATCACTGCCTGGTGTTAATTGCTTCTTTTCGCGAGGATTAGCGCGTTGACACCTCCTTTAGTTAAAAAGTGAAGCGGCCTTACGCCATGTTCTTTTTAAAGAAAACTGTGGCAAAGCCGAAATAATCTTCTTAATTGCAACTTGGATCTGTAGGCGTAGTTAAGCGACACTTGCCAACGATAAAAATTACCATACTAAAAGGCAGCCATCCCAAGAAAACTGCAATGATGGGAAACCATTTAAAAGCCTCAAATCACCAGGAACCCAATTCAATGCCCCCTTTTGCTTTCGAATTTATTGAAAATGTTACAAGCCTTTTTCCGCTGAGAACTGGTAAGCGCAAGCTGATAGAACCTTTGACCTTTTCTATGACGAGTAAACAACCTTTTCCCCGGATACTATGGCGGGAAAAAAATTATGCGCCTTTCTCATTAGAAAACCGAGCAAAATATATTTTGACGCTTATTAATTTTTATCTATTATTGTAACATTTTTGAAATCAAATTCTTCCTTTTAAGTCTTTCCTTTGTGTCAACGGCATCGTACAAGCAAGAAATATAATGAGTTCGGCAAACACTGCAAATATAATTGCCGAGTTTTAAATTTAAAGCTCACCGCCTATTGTTCTCTTATAGTAATTTTAACGAGATTAAAAAAATAAATATACGTGGAAAAAAATACAGAAAATACAGCTGATAAGCGTTTTTTTTATTCACACTTTCTACCAGCAAAAACTGTACATTTCTACTTTCGGGAACTGTTCTTAAACTAAACACGCTTTAAGACGAAATAAATAAGCTAAGATGTACTAAAATTTTCGGCATTGCCTTCGTTCCTGCGAATGGACTTGTTTTGATTTTAATTAACGTGAAGAGTCCACTTTAAAATCGTCACCCTGACATGGAGAAAAGAACTGCGTCGGGATTTTTTTTTCTCGCCTTCCCATAAGTACCAAGAGTAGAACTTACACTCTGTCTTATTAATTCACGTCAATTCATTTTGGCAAGCTGCGCTACACTAATCTATTTTTTTTCCCGTAACTGTAACTATAGAACTAATAAATTATTTCCTATTTACGATGCAAAACTCCGAGATATTACTATTAAAATTTCACGGTAAGAAAATATTGCGTTTATCTCGGATTACGATAAAAAATATTTTTTCCTCGTATATCTAAAAACTAACTATCGGCCTCTTAATTAAGAAAAACCTACGGCTAAAAATAGTTTAAAAATGCCAAAAGCGTAGCTTGCTATACGTTAGAGTAACTGTACAAAGTTATCGGATTTTTAAAATCCGACATTAAGAAGCAAAAATATTTGCTGTTCATGAAAAAAATTCATTATCTCACGCTTAAACGCGTTTTATTAAGAAGTACATGACATTTAAAGGTTAAAACAAATACATTTTTTGAGTTACACTTTGATATTTTAAATACAAAACATCTACTTGTGTTAAGTGGAAGAGAAGAAATAGGAAGGAAAGATATCTTCCTTGACTACACTTGTCCTAACATGAGGCTTTGGTCGTTAAAACTCTGCAAAACATAAACACAACACAAAAATTGTTAGCTGTAAGATTTTAAAGAAGCTACTTGAAGCGATATTTTTTCTTGTATTCAACATTCGCGACGCATTTTTTTGATGTAATTAGGAGAATGCTAATTTTAAACGTCGAAGTTTTTCTCTCTTCAAAATGTTAAATTCAAAGTTCCTTACTAGTACCATTTTTCTCTAATCAATCATTATTCCAAAAGGCTAGTTTCAAAGACTTCCAAAACAAGCTATCCCATAAGCTGTCCGAAACATAAAAAAGTAATTATATTAAAAAATAAGTAAATAAAAAAATAAATAAAAATATTCATGAATTGTGTTCGCTAGAATCCAAAGAAGTTTTATCATATCAGATCAGAACAGTTAGACAGGTAGACGCCAAATAAGGTAAAAAAAAAAATATCCTATGCCATGTTTCTTTGTTATTTCAGAGTTTTAAAACAAGATTACTTTGTGCCAAACAATAGCCACTTAAAAACCGCGTTCCCAGTTTCTAATTTTACTTTCACGATCAGACAAATTTGGTCGTCACTTTAAAATAGAAAGGTGAAGCAAGCCAAGATTAGGTTAATTCTTTTTCACACTCGCTCACCGCAACAATTCGGAGCTGGTGAAGGGAAACGAAGTCGCGACAGCGAAATGTTTTGGATGTTTTGCTCAAGTAGCATGTAATGACCGAGAAGAAATTTCAATTGTTCACTGGGAAATATTTGTGAAGTCTTCTGAAGTACACTTGTAAACATAAAAAGTTCTTACTCGTTTTCAACCCAACCCAAAAGCAAATTAGCAACTCTGGATAAAACCGCACCAATAAAATTGCTGTATAAAACATTCCTTTGATTTAAACAAGCACTTAATCTAATGACCACTTGCACAGAAAAAACAGACGCCCAATATAAATGACTAGAATTTACCGCAGCTTTGATAAACGACCGGGAATCGTAGGTCATGACGTGAGCATGCGTTCAACTTGCATAAATCAAACTTTGAGAGGAAACGAAAGGGCTTAAACGTAAGAAGATTACAAAAGTTCAAGCCTTGACAAGCTAAAAACAAACAGCCAAAGGAATCCATCGCGTACGTGGAATCTTGTCAATTTTGCCAATTCAGGTGAACTAGCAAATAACAGAACTCAAAGCGAAGCAAACCTTAAGAGAATCTCAACTCGAAAGTTTAACCTCTGTCGTAATTTCACAGTTTTCGAGTGATTTTACGGCTCAGCTAAGCATATCGCTAACAACATGCGAGCTGACAAAAATAAGTCGAAGGATTTCAAATTAGGAAAGATTAACTTGGTATGTAGTTACAAATCTCGTGATCATTAAAAAATAAGTCGTTTAAAAAAAATCCAAAGACGTGTGTCATACCATTTTACGAACGAGCTGGAACAATGAAGAATTGGAAAGAGAATTTTAAAAAGGAAAAGCTTACCCTAGTACGTAATTCTAAAGCTCCTGATCATAAAAGCTAAGCAAGTTACGCGAAACATTCCTTCAGGTAAACAGGACGTGAAAAATTGTTATTAGGCGATAGGATATCTAGAACATCTCCTAAATCCCTTCCACTTCACGTAAAATTTAGGAGTTTACAATAGTTAGCGTGTTTACAAAGGCACTTGCTCAGGCAAACGTGAACGAGGAGGAATTTTACATGGGATTAATCAAAAACGTCATTGGAAAAACGAAAATAAATCGAAGGGGGGGAGGGGAGGGAAAAGAGACAGTGCAATTCTGAACACCTCACATCAAAAGCTAACCCTTCTATATACGGTATCAAAACAATTCGTAATTTTTTTTTCTTCTCCGAACATCAGTAGTCAAAAAGACAAGAGATGGTAACAAAGGTAATCGTCAAATAAAGGTTATTCTTTGAATGTGTCAAAGAATTCTCAGAGGACCTTCAGAGAAAGGTTTCCCATTATGCAAGGAACACTTGAGTTTTTCAGTCGAACACACGAGATCAGCTCGTGCAAGACACAAGTACCAACTTTTCAAAGGGCAACCGCCATCATTAACTCCTAAATGGCGCGCTGAGGTCATTAAATCTCACAAATTTTCAAACGTTTTTCTTAGTACCTTTGGGATAATGTGGT